GAATATATCCTTTTCTTCTTTTCTTTGCTGTCAGTTCCACGAACATACTCTCTCCTTCTCACTATCTATCCTATCAAAGCTTCAACGGTCTTTCTCTCGTCTCTCTCTCTCCTATTGTTATCGTTGTTCCTTCCCATCTTTTTTCATACATCGATTATAAATCATCTTCTTCTTAGTTCCTTCTTTAAAAACGCATGATATTGAGTAAATGATAGTTGCGTGATGATTATGATGCAACGGCAAGTAAAAGATGAACCTTTCATAGCTAAAAGTACCTTTAATGAACATAAGGGATAAAGAATCTGAGTTTCTAAACTGAAAAAAGAGAAAGAAAGCAAGTAAAAGATGAAACTAAAGACTATATCCATAGTGATTAGTTCTCAAGTTAAAGACAGCTTGCAATATATAGCAAGTAAGCGAATGCACCCTTGGGATCTAGAGGTCTCCCTGGAATCAAGATAAAGGTCCAGGAAAATTTGGGATATAACTTGTTATCGGCTACGATGCTTACGGCGATAGGACAATTTGATAAGTCATTCAATAGAAGATACTGATACTTACATATATGTAGTCATAACTCTGGGCTGTCAGGGACCATGAAGTCAGCAGACGGATTGGCCTGGCAGCAGGGTCATGAACCTCTTCAACAAGATTATTTGAAGATGTCGGTACCTGTGCAGAAGGACCAAGCTACGGTTTTCAGGCCCTGATAATGCGTTTTGCTATACGGTAGCGAAACCTGGACATTGTCCTGTGCCTTAGAGGCTCGTCTTTGAGCCTTTTTGTAATAGGTCCTTGCGCCAGATCATGGGGTACTGTTGGCAGACCATGTGTCCAACCAACGGTTGCAACCGTGAGACTGGCACAAGGACCTGTTATCTGCACAAAATCCGAAGTGATTCGCCAGCTCAGCTATATCGCCACCTGGCTCGCTTTCCACAGGCTGATCCTGCTCATCAGGTCGTCACTATTCGAGACAACCCTGGGTGGAGTGTGGAGGACCTAGAGTCGTGGCTTGGGCTTGTAAATAAAAATCCAAATATTTGAGAAACACAAAGAGAGCAGCAGCAAAGATGGCGCCAAGTGCTCTTCGGGATAGAGGTCTGTGCGCCGATGAGGATGCAGCCGAGAGATTCCGTGAATTATGTTTGCCCCGTTAGCAAAGTCTTGATATAGTCAGATGAAAGTAGATTATTGCAGTAATCATTAAGGACATTTTCATTGCTAGAATTATTGCTATCATTAATATTCATGTTATCATTATTATCCATGTTATCATTAACATTGTTTTAATAAAATACCTTACAATTTTTTCTTATACTTGCGGCCCATTCCTGAAACTTACGTTACAATATATTTTTTAAAGGTTTGAGAGAGAAAAAATTGATTGACTTCATTTCTGAAAGCCGTTCCTACATAGATATTCTTTATACATCTATCTCTCCTTCTCGCTTTCTGTCTATAGGTCTATCAAATCTCATATTTCATCAGTTCATTCACTATTTGCATATCATATCAAAGTCTAATTTTTAGTGTTTACTTCTCTATCTATCCATCTCTATCCATCTTTTTTCCTATTTTCTTCTGGAGAAGGAGAGGGCGAGCACACATAAGCAGTTACAGGCACACACACACATAAACACACAAGCACACATACACACACGAGAGAAATTTTGCGTTCATGTGGATATGAGTCTAATAATAATTGAGAAAGCAGCAAAGTCCCCCAAGGAAATATTTATTGTTTTTGTTCACCCAGCCAAGCAGTTCGGGTTAGTTTTTACAGCCTTGTTGTAAGGCCACGATAATATGCATTGTATCATGTATGTCTTGATAGATAGAAAGACTGGTAGATGGGTAAGTAGGTAGGAGGGAGGCGGGTAAAAAGAGACATAAACAGATAGATGTGTACATATATAGATAGATAGATGGAAAGAATGAGAGATGGACAGATGAATTAATAGATAGATAGCTAGTTGAAATAGTTTCATTTTTCTCACCTTAATTTCGAGCATGAATTATAATTGTCATATGAAGAAAGAACCTTTAATGGATATTCTCCAAACAATAATAATGAAATTTTTTCATATATATTAAACCAACTTCGTTAGGCTCGGTCTTCGCTTGCTGCTACAGAATAAATATGAATAGACACAATGAAATTACAATTTTTATTATTTCAATATTTATTCAATTAAAAAGAGATCACTAAATATGTGAAACTACCATATTTGATAATTCAAAAAACATCAGAAAACAATAATAAAAAAAGGTTATTAAAGCATAAGAAACTGATTTTTTTTTTGTTTTTTTTTTTTTTTACAAAGCTCATAAAACAACCAGTGAACTACAGGTCTGACCCGTGTTCGAATGCAGTGTGCTTCTCCACCTGTCCTAACTGCCTTGCTACGGAGGTGGAATCACAAAGGGAAATAAGAACGCGATGGAAAGGGTTTCCGGACTGGCCTCCCGCTGAGCAGGCCATCTTTCTAGAAAATAAGAGAGGAAAGCATGAAAATTGCCTAGAATCGTTGACATATTTTATAACTTAATATATAACATTACCAATATTTCAGGTCATGTTTGGTTTTAGGTTTGAAATAAATGACATTTGTCAAATATGCTTTCCATTCATATATATAAATATTTACATATGTATATATCTATATCTATTTATCTATCTCTCTCTCTCTCTCTCTCTCTCTATATTATATATATATATATATATATATATATATACATATATATATATATATATATATATATATATATATATATATATATATAATATGAATATATGTGTATATATTTTCCTGGTAAGAGCGTTTTGATTATGGGAGACAAGTACAGATTTCTAAACGGGATTTTAGGCATGATGGCCTGCCTCTGTTTTAGCAAGAGGGAAGCATATGAAAATTGCGAAAGATCGCAATCATATACTATGACTTATTTTTCTTCTATGTTATCAGCGTACCACGTGAACAATGTTTAAGGTCCTGTTCGTATTTAGGGTTTAACGATAAATGACGCTTTTGTTTACGTCTGTGTTCAAAAACAGTCAATACATTCCATTGTACACTACATATGTTGATCTGCTGACAGCAATGTTAGCAAGGAGAGGAAATGGAGTTTCCGATTGGAAAAGTTTATTGTATCTTTTTCGAAGGAATTCCTTAGATGACACACCATGGCTCCTGTTGCACGTTGTCCATTATGTCTCGGCTCAGTAATAGAGGGAACGATAAACAGAAGGAGAGAAGTATGTGCGTAAGAGACAGGAGAGTACAGGTGGGATGGCTCTGCCTCAGGCTCAGCAGACCTCTTGTAGATGTGTCGGCCGTAAGCTGGAAGTGGAGCGTATGGAAGGTATAGAAGAGAGTAAGCCCCCTGAGAAGCCTCAGCCTCGGCTTCTGGCTCAGCAGACCTCTTGTGGAACCGGTGACCATGGTATCCTCCGTAGGCTACGGGGAAGGGAGAATAGCTTCCGTGGGAGTAAAGTCGAGAAGCTTCAGCGTCAGCAGCCCTTTTGTGGAGTGTGTGAACGCTGTGTCCATACACGCCATACACAGGAGTGCGGATGACGGCCCTGACGCCATAAAGAGTGGAAGGCTCAGCGTCTGCGGATCTCTTATGGTAGTGAGTCGGGAAGGATGGTCCATAGGAGTATCGAGGATAGAGTGGAGTTCTGTAGCCGGAGTGAGGAATCACGCTGGGCTCCGCCTCTCGCTTCTCGACTTCGGAAGCGCAAACGGCAGCCGCCAGGAGCACAAACGCCTGAAAGTAAGTTCAGACAAGTTGTAGATCTGCTGTAGTCAATAACAGAAATATAATCAAGTGAAAACCCTCCACTGTACTCACCAAGTACTTCATCTTGGGTTAAGCAGGCTTGTTGTGGCCACAACAGAGGAGTGTGTGTGAGCAAGATCTTGTGGAATGGTTTATATAGGTCGCTTCTGACCTTGCAGTGAGTGGAAAGTGCAAGTCAGATGTTGTTGTTTGCTTGCGATGGTTTTTGAGATAAAAAAAGGCTTATCTAAGGAAGAGACTGGGGACCTGATTATAGATATGGTAAAAGGTGTTGGTAAGTTAATAAAATCAGAATCAAAGGAAATTGATATAAAAAGGAACATTCTTTCTCTTGAGCTTTTACACGCCACAAAATCGAAGGGCAAGTAAAAATATTGGCAGATAATAGAGGAGAAGATAGAGATAAAGGTAGATGGGTTGGTTGAAATAGATCAAGGGGAGCAGGGAGATGAAAACAGAGAGGGAGAGGTAGAGGAAGAGGAAGACAGAAGGAGAGGGGAGAGAGGAAGAGGGACGCGTGGAGAGGGAAAGTGATGAGAAGAGATAGAAGAAAGGGGGGAAATAATAGAAGAGGGAGAGAAAGGAGAGAGAGGGAGGGGGGATGAGACAAGAGGGAAGCATGGAGAGGGAGACAGATAAGGGGAGGGGGGGAAACACACGCGCGCACACAGAAAATAAAATAAAATCACACACAGTGACATACACAAACGCAATTACACAAAATCACAATCATACATGCCTATACGCACAAGCACACATACACACAAGAATTTCGTGTGCATGTGGATAAGTCTAACAATAACTGAGAAAGCCTCAAATTCCCCCCAATGAAATATTTATTGATTTTGTTCGCACAGCCAAGCAGTGCTGGTTAACTGTTACACGTTGTAAGGCCACGATAATATGCATAGTATCATGTATGTCTTGATATATAAACTGAGAGACGGGTAAGTAAATGAGCCGGCAGGCAGGCAAAAAGAAAAATAGACATATAAACAGATATATGTATGTGTATATATAGAAAGGAAGAGAAATGGGCAGATGAATTAATAGATGGATAGCTAGTTGGAGTAGGTTGATAGATAAATAGACATAAAGTATTTAAATGTGTATACATACATACATATATATATATATATATATATATATATATATATATAGAGAGAGAGAGAGAGAGAGAGAGAGAGAGAGATGGATACATACATTTATACATAGCTGAATGGATAGGTAAATTGGTGGTTGCATGGTTAAATAGATCTTTTGTGTTTATAATCACAGTGAAACATTCTTCACATAAATTTTCTCACTTTAATCCCGAGCATCAAAAGTAACTGATATGAAAAAATACCCTTTAATGGATACTCTCCACCAATAATAATGACATTTTTCATACTAATGTTTACCGAAAACCAACCTTCGCTGTCCTAGGTCTTCGATTCCTCAGCTATACCTCATGAATATACACAAATAGAAAAACCTGAAAGTGCAATTCGTATTTATTTTCAAAATATTTACAATACACGGAAAAAACAACTCCAAAACACCGTCTCCACTGCCAAAAGAGATCCTAAATAAGTGAAACTACCATATATTGATAAGGCAAACTCTGACATCAGAAAACAATTAAAAACATCTTAATAAGGCAATCGACCTCAGATTGAATTTATATTTGTTTTTACCAACACTGACTTTTTTTTCTTTCTTTCTTTCTTTTCCAAAGCTCATAAAACAACCAGTGAACTACAGGTCTGACCCGTGTTCGAATGCAGTGTGCTTCTCCACCTGTCCTAACTGCCTTGCTACGGAGGTGGAATCACAAAGGGAAATAAGAACGCGATGGAAAGGGTTTCCGGACTGGCCTCCCGCTGAGCAGGTCATCTTTCTCGAGAACAGTAACACTCACATCGTTTCTGTAACAGATTTGAGTGTTTTGTCCTCCCACTGCCCTCGCCACGACATCATCTTAGAAACCCTCCATATAGTAAAGGTAAAGCCAGAACTGAACAACGCAACACCTTGTTCACCAAACAGACTTTCTCTCGCCACGAACACCCACTTTGGTTAGTTTTCTCGGTCTTTCGTGGGAATCACGCGTCCATAGTTTATTTTGATTACGTTTATGCATTTTGTTTTTATTTTATGTATGTATCTTTGTTGTATTCTACATCTATCTGCTTTATTGTTAACATTTTTGTACTTATATTTCATCAGTTACTTACTAATATTCAAAAAGGAAAAATCGGAACCGCATGGCTTATCTAGACACCTTCGAAATGTTTGTTAAATAAGGAACATAAGATTCTACATGGTTGTGCTAATCTACCTCTTCCTGCTTGCAATTCGAGACCTGAACGCTAAGACTAAGACGCATCATATATATATATGGAGGGGCAGAGAGAGAGAGGGGGGGAGAGGAGGCAAGGAGAGAGAGAGAGAGAGAGAGAGAGAGAGAGAGAGAGAGAGAGAGAGAGAGAGAGAGAGAGAGAGAGAGAGAGAGGGAGAGAGGAAGAAGAGGGAGAGGGAGAGAGAGAGAGAAAGGGAGGGGAAGGAGAAGATGAAGAAAGAGAATTAAAAGGAAAATGAGAAGGAAGGAGGGAGCGAGAAAGGGAGAGAAATGTGAGAATATACCAATATTATGAAAACATAGAAGGAAGCTGGGAGACAAAAACAGAGAAATTTCACACGAATAAAGGCGGAGAGAGAAAGAAGAATGAAAAAGGCACATAAACAGAAAGGGGGAGGGGGAAGGGTAGAAGGAGAGCACACATAAGCAGTTACAGGCACACACACACATAAACACACAAGCACACATACACACACGAGAGAAATTTTGCGTTCATGTGGATATGAGTCTAATAATAATTGAGAAAGCAGCAAAGTCCGCCAAGGAAATATTTATTGCTTTTGTTCACCCAGCCAAGCAGTTCGGGTTAGTTTTTACAGCCTTGTTGTAAGGCCACGATAATATGCATTGTATCATGTATGTCTTGATAGATAGAAACACTGGTAGATGGGTAAGTAGGTAGGTAGGCAGGGAGGCAGGTAAAAAGAGACATATAAACAGATAGATGTGTACATATATAGATAGATAGATGGAAAGAATGAGAGATGGACAGATGAATTAATAGTTAGATAGCTAGTTGAAATAGTTTCATTTTTCTCACCTTAATTTCGAGCATCAAAAATAACTGTCATATGAAGAAAGATCCTTTAATGGATATTCTCCACCAACAATAATGACATTTTTCATACCAATGTTTATCGAAAACCAACTTTCGTTAGCCTCGGTCTTCGCTTGCTCAGCTGTTCTCAGAATATGCACGAATAGAAAAGCATGAAATTACAATTCGCATTTATTTTCAGAATATTGACAACAATAATAAAAAAAAATCCAAAACACCATCTCTACTGCCAAAAGAAATTCTAAATATGTGAAACTACCATATATTGATAATTCAAACTGATATCAGAAAACAATAAAAAAAGGTTTATAAAGGAATCACCCTCAGATTAAATTCATCTATGTTTATATATATATATATATATATATTATATATATATATATAATATATATATATATATATTTATATGTATGTATGTATACACATTTAAATAATTTATGTCTATTTATCTATTAACCTACTCCAACTAGCTATCCATCTATTAATTCATCTGCCCATTTCTCTTCCTTCCTCTCTATATATACACATATATATATCTGTTTATGTCTATTTTTCTTTTTGCCTGCCTGTCGGCTCATTTACTTACCCGTCTCCCAGTTTATATATCAAGACATACATGATACTATGCATATTGTCGTGGCCTTACAACGTGTAACAGTTAACCAGCACTGCTTGGCCATGCGAACAAAATCAATAAATATTTCATTGGGGGGAATTTGAGGCTTTCTTAGTTATTGTTAGACTTATCCACATGCACACGAAATTCTTGTGTGTATGTGTGCTTGTGCGTATAGGCATGTATGATTGTGATTTTCTGTGTAATTGCGTTTGTGTATGTCATTGTGTGTGATTTTATTTTATTTTCTGTGTGTGCGCGTGTGCCCCCCCCCCATCCCCTATCTGTCTCCCTCTCCATGCTTCCCTCTTTGTCTCATCCCTCCTCTCCATCTCTCTTCTCCTTTCTCTCCCTCTTCTATTATTTCCCCCCTTTCTTCTATCTCTTCTCATCACTTTCCCTCTCCACGCGTCCCTCTTCCTCTCTCCCTCTCTCCTTCTGTTTTCCTCTTCCTCTACCTCTCCCTCTCTGTTTTCATCTCCCTGCTCCCCTTGATCACTTTCAACCAACCCATCTACCTTTATCTCTATCTTCTCCTCTATTATCTGCCAATATTTTTACTTGCCCTTCGATTTTGTGGCGTGTAAAAGCTCAAGAGAAAGAATGTTCCTTTTTTTATATCAATTTCCTTTGATTCTGATTTTATTTGCTTACCAACACCTTTTACCATATCTATAATCAGGTCCCCAGTCTCTTCCTTGGATAAGCCATTTCTTTCTCGACAAAAGAAATAAACATAAGAACGCAAGCAAAATGCAACATCTGACTTGCACTTTCCACTCACTGCAAGGTCAGAAGCGACCTATATAAACCATTCCACAAGATCTTACTCACACACACTCCTCTGTTGTGGCCACAACCTGCTTAACCCAAGATGAAGTACTTGGTGAGTACAGTGGAGGGTTTCACTTGATTATATTTCTGTTATTGACTACAGCAGATCTACAACTTGTCTGAACTTACTTTCAGGCGTTTGTGCTCCTGGCGGCTGCCGTTTGCGCTTCCGAAGTCGAGAAGCGAGAGGCGGAGCCCAGCGTGATTCCTCACTCCGGCTACAGAACTCCACTCTATCCTCGATACTCCTATGGACCATCCTTCCCGACTCACTACCATAAGAGATCCGCAGACGCTGAGCCTTCCACTCTTTATGGCGTCAGGGCCGTCATCCGCACTCCTGTGTATGGCGTGTATGGACACAGCGTTCACACACTCCACAAAAGGGCTGCTGACGCTGAAGCTTCTCGACTTTACTCTCACGGAAGCTATTCTCCCTTCCCCGTAGCCTACGGAGGATACCTGGTCACCGGTTTCCACAAGAGGTCTGCTGAGCCAGAAGCCGGGCTGAGGCTTTCAGGCATATCTCTCTTATCTACGCATACGATCCACTTCAGTGTTACGGCCCGGACACATCCACAAGAGGTCTGCTGAGCCAGAAGCCGGAGGCTGTGAGGCTTCTCGGGGCAGTCTCCCTTATATGGCCTCCATACGTCCATGCGTACAGCTTATCGGCCGACACATACTACAGAGGTCTGCTGAGCCTGAGGAGAGCCATCCCACCTCGTACCTTCTCCTAGTCCTCTTCCGCACATACTTTTCTCCTTATCGTCCTCTTCTGTTATCGTTCCCTCTATTACGCTGAGCCGAGACAGAATGGGGACAAACGGGCAACAGGGCCATGTGTAGTCATCTAAGGATGTCCTTCGAAAAAGATACAATAAAACTTTCAATCGGAAACGTCCATTTCCTCTCCTTGCAACCATTGCTGGTCAGAGATCAGCATATGTAGTGTACAATGGAATGCATTTGACTGTTTTTGAACACAGACGTAAACAAAAGCGTCATTTATCGGGTAAACCCTTAACACGAAAACGACCTTAAAATATGTTCACAGGTCGCTGGATAACGTAGAAAGCAAAAGCAAAAGAATATAGTATATGATTGGCGATTTTTTGCCCAATTTGTCATGATATTTCCCTTCCTGCGATAAAACAGCAGGAAGGCCATCATGCTAAACTCCCTTTTAGAAAGTCATGTATTTGTCGTCCTATATCCAAGACGCTCATGTGTTGGTAACCAAGGGGGGGGGCTGGGGGCAAATTATATACAAGTGATATTCTCATCCTTATATATATATATTTATTAATTTAAGTA